AGGAAAGCCATCTCTGGTCCAGTCTGTTGTAATTAGGTCAGGAGAACATGTTTCTTGCATTAGACTCATGTAGAGATTGTTTGAAAGAATTGTTCTGGAAATCTGAAGCGGATCCCAAGAAGTCACATTTGTCACAAGGTCTCCTGTGCCACCGACGCTGCTGATTCCAATATATTAAAAACCCCTTTCACAGAATTGGTTCATAGTGCTGGTCTCAGAGTCTGTGCTGGGAGAGGCATTTTTCTCTTCACATAGTTGGAGGCATGGGAGGCACATAACTCAAAACTCCAATACAATCTAGAATTATCCTTGTCTGAACTTGCCATCTTTTTATTTTCCTGGTGTTTCTGGACAGTAGTGATTGAAGAGAAAAATGAGAACCAGGATGGTACCAAAAGAAATGAAGACCAAGGAAAAGATGTTTTATGTACATTTGGAAGAGGAAATAAGGGGATTGCATAAGAAATCATCATAGCGGGTCTCTTTAACGCCTTAGCGTTGATAAGAATGGGGGCTGACTTTTCCAGGCATGAACGCTCAGTAAGAAAGAGACAGGTGGCTATCCTGGATGTTCCCACAGCAGCAGTTTGACTTTTGGTACCCATTTGTTTAGAAAATGAAATGTCAAGATACTGCTATGAAAACTATGCATCAGCCACGGAAATTTCCAAGTACACCACAAGAGCATCTTTGAGAGCTGCTCTTGTCCATTGCAGCCCCAAGATCAGCCAATGCCAAGCATACAGTGAACCTTCAGCTCTTACAATCCTTCTTTGAGTTACTAGCGTATGTGACCACAGCTTGTGGGCCCGAGCTTTGCTTGGAGCTGTCTTACCTTGTGGAGTACAAAGAGATGGAGGCAAAGATCAGATTTCGATTTAAGTTTGCTCATTAAACTTGTGTAACCCTGTTTCCTGCCTGTGTCTGCTTCCGTGTACTACTTTATCGAGGTCAAGTATACAAGTATGAGAAGAGAAATAAGCTAGCTGTGCTAGGCTTAGTGATGCAAACCCATAATCCCAGCGATCGTGAGATAGAGGCTGTAACCCCTGCACTGGGATGTGGAAGCAGGAGGAGGATCAGAGTTCAAAGTCATCTTCAGATCTTCAGTTATATAATAAGCTTAGAGTCAGTCAGGGATACATGAGACCTGTCTTGGGTTTTTATTGAAAATGCACCACAACAAATGCAGCTTGGGGAGGGAATGATTTGTGTAGTTTACACTTCACAATCACATTTCGTCATGAATGGAAGTCAGGGAAGAAATTCAAGACAGGAACCTGGAGGCAGAAACTGAAGTAGAGGCCAAGGAGAAATGTGCTCCCATGGGGTGCTCCGCCTAATCTATTTTCTCAGTGGAGGTTCTTCTTCCCAGATGACTCAAGCTTGTATCGAGTTGACAAAACAAAAACAAAACAAAACAAAAAAAAACCCCAGATAACCAAGACAAGACCCTATACCAAGTAAGTCAAAGTTGAGGAGGGGGGTTAGTTAGATGGTTCAGCAGCTAAAAGCAAGTACTACTCTTCCAGAGGAACCAAGTTCCTAGACTCATTGGAGTTGCTCATAGCCACTGTCACTGCAGTTCTTGGGAAATCTAGCACCCTCTTTTGGTCTCACTGGACACTGCATTCACATCCCTGGAGTATAATTTGTTTCTGAGATACTCTCAGGATTTCTGTAATCGTTCAGGCTATGGATACCTATGCTATGTTAGCACTCCATTTACTCTCCAAAATAATTCTATGTATAGATATTGCGGTGGTATGAATACAAATGACCCCCATAGGCTCATATATTTAAATGCTTAGTAACCAGGGAGTGGCACTATTTGAAAGGATTATAGGGATTAGGAGGAGTGGCCTTGTTGGAGGAACTGTGTCACTGGCGGTGGGCTTTGAGATTTCAGAGGCCTAAGGTAAGTCCAGAGTCTCTCTCTCTCTTTCTCTCTCTCTCTCTCTCCCTTTCTCTCTCTCTCTCTCTCTTCAGATCAGGATACAGTTCTCAGCTACTGTTCCAGCACCATGTGTGCCACCATGCTTCCCACTGCTACATCCACGGCTGTCTCGCCAGTGTAGCAGAAATGCTGACTGGATGGGCAAATATTGCCGGTAGGAGTGGGATTTGTGCTTCTAGGAGCTGTGTGTTCCAGGCGGGTCCCTTGGCAATCAGTTGTGGTGTAATGCTACCTGAGTTGCCATTAGTATTGACTCGACCTGGCTGTCCTTGGAGCCATATGTGTGTCTTTTCCCTTGTCTGTGTGTTCTTTGTGATTCTTGCATATTGCTAATAGATCAGACTATTCCAGGCAGTTGCGGATACAAACAAGACTGCTAAGGACATTCTTGAATTCTGCTCCACTATTAATTAAAGCCTTAAAAAAGTAGCCAGTTCTGGGAATTGCCAAAATCATCATTAGGACAATTCCTTGATGATGTGGAATAAAAGGAGTTAATCTTAGCAGGAAAAAACCTTAGAAGCCTTCTACAGGGAAACAGCATTAGGCATTTATGTGCAACTTAACAGGAGGCCTATGCAACCTTCCTTATAGCCAGAAAACCTAGGCTAATTACAACATCTGACCCTGAGAGTCGGGAAGGGAAAGGAGTTGAGATTAATGGTACAAAATGAGTCTCAGGAAGTTTTTCCAGGAAGATAGTAGCCTTCTTCTTCTTTCTCACCCAGACACACAAGGTCACTTAGCTGAGCCCAAGTCAGCCACCTGGTACAAGCTGATAAAGGTGGGCTAAGTCAAGAACAATGGTCTCTCTAATAACAAGAAAAAAGAAGGGGTAACTTTACAAATGTAAGGAAGCAAAAGTCCTTGTACTCATGCCAAAGCATCTTTAAAGATTCTCTTTGTAAAACTGTTTTGTGCTGATCTTTTCTATTTTATAATCTGATGATGTATGCCTTTACCAAGTTCTTTGTCTGTAAAAATATAAATACCTCACACTAAGAGAATAAAGACGCAGCAGTATGTTTCATTAAGAATGACTGTCTGTCAATTTCCTCGCCGTATCCTGATTTCTCCTGTGCCTTCGCCCTGATTCCCTTACGGTCTGAGTGGCTCCCTTGAGCCGGTTCGTAGCATCCCACCATGATGACAATGAACTAAACCTCTGAAACTGTAATCAAACCCTCAATTAAATGCTTTATTTTATAAGAGTTGCCTTGTTCAAGGTGTCTCTTCACAGACATACAAATACAGATACTTTACTTTAGTAACTGGTCTTATAAAAATTAAAAATGACTTTCGATATTTCTCTTGCTGACAAATGTTATATGAGCTCAGTTTTTTTTTGCTATAATACCTTGTAATTTGAAAATGTAGTTGCTCAAATAAAAAGTTGCCTATTAATAGGGAAAAAATTCTGGTAGCAGGGCAATCCCCCTCCCTGGGGATGTCCACATTCTGTTTTCTAGAACTTGAAAGTGCATGGCTTTGATTGACAAAGGGGATTTTGTAGGTGTATTTATTTATTTGTGTATTTATTTATTTATTTATGTATGTATTTATTTATTTTGGTTTTCAGGAGGATATATTACACAGGTGAGTGCAAGAAAAGAAAACCCAACTGCTATGTTGGTTTTAAAAATTCATCTGATGCCAGTGCCAAGTTCTGATCCTTTTGCTGGTCCCCACATTCTTGGCTTCTCCAGAGTAGGCTGGGCCCAGTTTCTGGGCTGAGGGGGTAGGTTCTGCATGGAATGTCCTGCCCCCTGTCACCTGAAGCATCAGGCATTTCCATAATGATCAGGACTGTCTCCTCTTCCTCCATTTGTTCAGATTCAGACTCTCATAACCAGTTTTGGCTGGGGACCTCATGAAGTGGATGGGTCAGCCCAGGGACACCAGGTGACTGTGGCTTCTCCTGCTTAGGAGACAGGTTCTTAGGAAGAGTTGGAACTGTGGTTTCCAAATCTTGGCAGTTAGCTGGCCCACCTGTCCTTGCTATCTTCTTGTTTGGGGATGTCCTGTCTGGACCTTCAATAAGGAATTTCCAGGACCATGTTCCTGGCTTTCTAGAGGTGGGGGTAGCAGAGCAACTAGTAGAGGCAAGTTCTGAAGAGCTGGGATGGGGCTTATGGGCCCAGACCTACTCAGGCTGGAGGCTTCTAAGGAACTGGTAACTTCCTCAAAGGCTGTGGCCTCCAGAGCCACCTCTGTACAGGTATATTTAAGTTAAACACCTGAGACAAAGGCATTAAATTGCATTCTCTAATATCATCACAAGTGTTCAAACTGTGTCTAGAGAGATAAATGACTATGAAAGAATAGACACTGACCTACAACATTCTTGGTTCTGAAAAGAGCCAAAGAATGTGGCTGCTATAAGCTGGAAATTACAAAAGAAAACAAACAAACAAAAAACCAGATTCTTCTCAAGAGCCCCAGAAAAAAATATAGCCTTGCTAAAGCTTTGAATTTATCCCAATAAAATCCATGTTGTATTTCTGTCCCATGGAACTGTAAAAGAATACATTTGTATTTGTGAATGTTACTAGGTGTGTGATCGTTTGTACAACAAGGGGGAATTAGGCCAAATGTATATTTCAGCTCTAATATCTTACAGGGTGAGGATTGAATTCACAGGCAAAGGTCAGCGGGTGCACAGTTCACCACTGCACTGTATCCTTGGAAGAATGAGGCAACTTATACACACTGTGAGGGACTCTGGTCCCCACCCTCTCTCTCTGCTCTCCTTCCTCCTCCACCAAAACTATGAGAGTGATTTTGCATGGGATGCTAGTGGTAACAATCATCTAGGGACCAAATAGAGTCTAACTCTCATACCAGCTATTTAAGGGAATTTAGAAGACTATCAACTGCCCAGTTCCTGAAAACTTCAAGGAAGGGTCTCATAAACCATGGGATATTTCAGGCATCTTGCTAAGAAGCAGAAAGCTATTGGCAGAAATTTCTCTCCCACCAGCTGTTCCCAAATAAACACACAGAGGCTTAATATTAACTATAAATGATTGGCCAATAGCTCAGGATTATTACTAGTTAGCTCTTGCAACTTAAATTAACCCATTTTTATTAATCTACATTCTGCCATGTGGCTTTTATCTTTATCCCAGTTTGTATGTCTGACTCATTCTGCGTCTGTCTGGCAACTCCTCTGACTCCACCCATCATCATCCCAGCAACCTTAGTTTGGTTGTCTTGCCTACATTTCCTGTCAGCTACTGACCAGTCAGCGTTTTATTAAGCCAATTCAAGTGACAAATCTTTACAGAATACAAAAGGATTATTCCACAGCAGAAAGCCACAGGATCTCCCCAGTTCCTGGCCATTCAGTTGAAACTTCTGAAGTCATTTCCCAGGTGGTCTTCACAGTTTCCTAATAACAAGTGTGATGCCTTTGTATATAGAAAGCAAAGCACAGTTGAGTCTTTGACGCTAGCATCCATCAGAGGTACCTGCAGGACTGGTTAAAACACAGATTGCTTCTCACCTGCCATCCCTGGCCTGGGACTTCTGACTCCATCCATCTGAAGTACAGTAGAGAATTTGCATTTCTAGCAATTTCCTGGGGGACAGGCCATGCTGAGGATGCTGATCTGAGGGCTGCACTGTGAGAACCCAAGGTATTCCTCAGGAGTCAATCAATCTTCACTACTTTCAATTGAATGATCTTCAGCAATTTCTTTGAAATTTAGAACTTAACTTCTTCATCTATCAAAGGAGGTAATAAACCCATCTATGAGGATGGTGATAAGATTCAGCAGGGTGATCTATATGGAGTGCTTAGCAAACTGTGAGACCTTAATACATTGTTTCTATGGCTGGTAAGATGGCTCAGTTGGTAAAGGCACTTACTGTGAACCCAGGATAGCCTGAGTTAGATCCCTGGAACCCACATAATAGTGGAAGGAAAAAACCTACTCTACAAAGTTGTTCTCTGACCCTTGGCACACTTGCTGTGACGTGTGAACATGCACACACACACAGACACACACACATCCACAAATAAAAATAAAATTTAAAATAAATGTTCTCTAGTGTTGATCTAATGTATCTAATGTGTTGATATGACCAATAAAAAAATCACTTAGTGTGAAGAACCCTAAAAGGCCTTAGATGCACTGTCATCTGGCATGCCAAAGACAGTTAGTAAATGTGTCCTCCCCGTCTGCTCCTCCCCATAAGTCAGAAAGCTCTGCCCATAATGGATTGTCACTTCGCTTTCCTCAGGGAGACGCCAGAGGAAAGAGTCTGGAGAAAACGCTTGACACACGCCACTGAATAAAGCGGAAGCAGAAAGTTTGTAACTATTTTGTGAAAACTTGTCCAACAATAGAAAGAGGAAGTTCATTTGGGGTGTGATGCAGTGGCTGCAGAAATGAATAGATGTCAACTGGGCCAGGAGCAAATTAATCTGAACATAATTGCAGAGAAGAAAAAGGAACTGTGCCACACTCCTTTGGGAAATCTAGCAAGAAAGTCCGGGTTTAGGCTCTCTTTGTTTTCCTGTTCTAGAATAAAAAATAAATTGATATCACCATTATGTGAACAAAAAAAGACGCCGCCCTGGGAAGACTCCATTTTCTTGTGACTGTGAGGGATTCTTTGCCTGGGTCACTGGGAAAGAAGAGCGGTCCTGTGATCCCTTGTGGAAAGTTTTCATGGTGAGGACTGGCCATCCTGATGGTCAAGCAAATAAGGCAGGGGGATAAAATGCTGCTGTAATAGAAAGTCCAATTCGTTACAATGTGATAATAGCGACGCAGTGACACAAGCAGCATCAGAACGTTAATCCCATCTCATCTTTCGGGGGAGAATGGGCAGAACCGGAAGGGCTGGGAAGTTAGTTTAGTAGTTTAGATTTCCAGTGGTCTAAGAGCTGATGAACTGAGCCCAAGCTTGGCTTCTCATTCCAATACTGTGTGCGTGCAAGCGTGCGTGCATGTGTGACTGCATGTTCAAGGGTGCAGTTCTTCTGTGGATGGTTCCTGTGTGAATGTGGTGGGGAGGGCACGGAACAACCTCCGGTGTCTTTCCTTAGGCTCTGTTCTGTCTTTGTCCTGAAAAATCTCACAGTAGCTGCCTGAGCACCTGGCCCAGGGATCCTCCTGTCTTTACCCCCCTAGGACTGGTATTATGAATATGTGTTACTTAACTGAATTTTTTATGTGGATTCTGGGGATAAAATTTAAATCTCTGAGCTTACCAGATGAGCTTACCAATGAGCTATCACCCCAGCCCTTACATGCTAGCTTTTTCACACTTTATTGAAAAAAGCAGGTACAGTAGAATTACTGAAATTCCTAACATTTTTATTTTTGAGTATTTTTTCATTCTTTTGAGACAGTATTTCGGCAAGACTGGCCTTGAACTCAGGACCCTCCTCCCTAGTCTTCCCTGAGTTCTGGGATTCCAGCTACATTCAAGCCATCCCTGACTTGAATCTCCTCTTCAGACATGGCGCGGCACACCTTTAGTTTAGCCAGACATGGTGGGGCATACCTTTAGTTCCAGTATCAAGGAGGCAGAAGCAGGTGAGTCTTTGTGACTTTCGCTGAGTTCCACTTCAGTCAGAACTATACAGTCAAACCCTGTCAGGAAAAGGAAAACTACTTTTCAATCACTGATCATCAAGGTAATCCAAAGCTGAAGACTTGAGGAAGATGTCACTCATAGTGATCAGATCAAGCAACTATCTTGGAAAGATAGGAAATACCAAATGCTGACCAGGCCTAGGAAGAGAGAAGGACTCTTAGCCTCTGTTGTTAGGCATGTAAATTAGCATAGCTATATGGAAACCATAAGAAGTTTCTTCAAAAACAAATATCAAAAGTATTAACAAACATGTTATACATACTTTTTTAAAAAACTGGAGGCTAGAAAATGGCTCAGTGTTTAAGAGCACTGCTTTTCCAGAGGGAAATCCAACATTCTTTGCTGGCCTCTGTGGGTCCTGCATGCACATGCTGTGCAAACAGACAGGTAGGCAGAACATCCATACACATAAGGCAAAAATAAAGGTTAAAAACATTTTTAAACACATCAACACTACAAATACTACAGAATTTAGCAATCTAAGAACCAGCCATATATCCAAAGGAAATGAAATAAGTTTATTGGAAACAGACCTGCTTGGGCCAGTGAGATGGCGGAGGAGGTAAATAAGCGTGCTTGCTGTTGATGTGCTTGAGTTTGAGTCCCAGGATCTAAGTGGTAGAAGAAGAGAACCTACTGCTAAAGGTTGCCTTCTGATCTCTACATGTGCTCTGTGTCTGGAATGCAACACACACACACACACACACACACACACACACACACACACACACACATTGAAATGAATATGAAAATGTAAAGAACACATCTGCACCCCTATGTTTACTGTAGCATTAGTCACAAGAGACAAGATTTGTAATCACATTAAATACCCAACATTGATGAATAGATAGAAAAAAAATGTGACACATACTTGCAATGGGCTATTACTTAGCCATTGAAAAGGATGCAATTGCTACATTGCAATATAGCAATGCTATTTGATACAACATGACTAGATCAGGAGGACATTCTATTAGGCAAAATAATCTAGACTTCCAGGGAGGGAGAGGAACTGGAAAAGAATCTGAGTCCCTTGGGAAACACCTGCAAGACGTGAAGCAAGTCAGGCATACATAATGAAGGAGAGGTAAAAAGCCATGTGGCAGAAAGTAGATTAATACTAACAGGTTTATTTCAATTGTAAGAGCTACTTGGGAAGAAGCCTAAGCTAAAAGCCAAGCTTTCATAATTAACAATATGTCTTTGTGTGTTATTATTTAGGGGGCTGGTGGCTAAAAGGAAAGTCCAACTACAGTTGGGAGAGTGTTTGCCCAGCATGAAAAAAAGCTAGGGATTCCATTCCCCCACTGAATAAAACTGGGCATGGTGGGCATGTCTGTAATTTCAGCACTTGAGAGGTGAATGCAGGAGGATCAAGAGTTCAAGGAAGGGGAATATAATGATGATATGGGTATGGACAGGTAAGAGGATGAAGGCTGGGGCCAGGAAGGATGGCAGCAGATAAGAGTGCTTACTGCTCTTCAAACACCTGAGTTCTGGTCCCAGCACCCACGAGATGGCTCACAAAGCCTGCAGCTCCAAATCCAGTGAACATTCACATACAAGCTCTTATGTAACTGGCATGCTACCATGCTTTTGTTTCTCTCAGGGAGACATCTAGGAATGAAAAGACCCAGGCATTTTGGCTCCTCTTTACTTCTCTGTGTGAGGCTTTTTAGTTCTGACCAGTCTAGGATACAAATGACTTAGTACTATAAGCTGTATCTTAATTCAACAACTATTTGAAATGAACGAATGTCTCTTAACACACGTAGTTCAATGTTAAAGAACCATGACTAACTAGCCTGTTTAAAATCCATCAGGGATCCTCATTGTCACCTTGTCTGAACTTTAGAGACACGGATACTCCATGCAGATAAATGGTGCTAAGAAATAAGTTGACTCCAGGTGTTTAAAAAACACGTATACACCAAGGATCCCCTACATAGCAGACACGTTGTTAGGAACAGGGGACTTAAAGAGAAAAAAATATCTAGGTTCAGAAGTCATTTTAAGTTCTACTTGCCAATACATTCTAAGTTCTCCTCAGAGCTCTTCACTGTGTACTTTGTGAGTGCTGCTATTTGCCAAATACGTGCCTCAAAAAGTGCATCCCATCTTATGAGCGTGAAGTCTTCAGTACCTCCCAACCAAGCTTCAGCTTTTCTGGAGAATTCTAGATGACCATGAGCCCCTCTGCCAACAAACCTTTAAAACACATCCTACTTTCCTTCATCTCAAGATTTTTCTGCTTCTACTTCATTTATAAAAGAAATAAAAACATAAAATGAGACTCGCCATTTAATGGCTGACGTTAATAAAATTTACTTGGGCATTGGGCATTTTCCCATAAACATATGGAGTTTTATTTCCTTTACTTTGTAGATGGATTGACATGTCACCAGACTTATTAGTCGTTCAAAACATAGTTTGAAAATAGGTTAGCAGGTCCCTCCTCCTTTTCCTTTCAATATTGGTGCCTCTTCCCTTGTGATATGCTCTGAAAATAAGTGAAGCAGAGGAGAAATAAAGGCTAATTTAACGTGAGAACCTACTTTCTAATGCTGATTTGGGGTCAGGCTGAGCATGGTCTAAAAAAATAAAAAGTCAGAAGCAAGGACAGACAGTTTAAAAAAGCAGCAAGTTTTTTTTTTTATCCTAATGAACTATTACTCCTACTTCCTAAACCCAAACTGAACACACACACACCTTTTCTGAAGGTCAAACAACCATCCAATAACTCACTAGTTAAAAGTTAAAATAATTAGTAACATCTTACCAGGATCTTTCGTCTTAAAGGCCAAATATATTTACTTACTACTAAATGGAATCTTTTCATTCTGCCTTGTAATGTTTTCTGTCTCATGGACAAAAGAGAGAACCTCGGGAGAAAAGGCCTTGCTTCTTTAAGGAGTAGAATTCTTCTGAAAACAATTATTATTGTCTTTTAAGTAGTCTTTCATTGATAAAAGTATCATAGGCTTATTTAAAACTTTTTTCTTTAAAGAATAACTACTCATTTGGTATAGAGGATAAATGATCTATTCTGTTTCTTAAAGTTTCCCAAATATTGAGGAAGGCTTAGACTACCTCTAAATAGATTCACTTTCCTTCTCCTCAATCTGCCTCCTCCTCTCCTGCCTCCCTTTTCTTTTCATCCTCCTAAGAAGGCAGCATCAAGTATATATCCACAGAGAACAAAACAAAAGCAAGGGCTGGTTTTGAATGGAAAATGAACTGAAACCACTCAGAACCACTCCTTCACATGCTGTATTACAGTCAATAGAAACGGTTCAGTAACTTCGGACCATCTTGGTAATAAGTAATGTGTTAACGAAGAAACACTGTTGCTTGAACTGACAGGTGGCTCTGGAGGTAAGTAACTGAGGATGCTGGAGGGCTTGTCAGCATCTGGGCTGCTTTCTAGGCCACAGCTGCACACTCTGCAGTCTGCCCCTGGAAGGAAACCCAGAAGGGTAGAGGTGAAAGCCCAGGCGAGTCTAGCTTGTGAGTTAAATGGAGCCAGCCTTCCTGGTTATTGTCCTCTAAACCGCATGAAGAAATTCCTCTGGAAGGAAGGCTGTGATGAAAAGGCAGACAGCAAAAGCTCTTTGAATTCCATTGTCCTCCATAGTTCCCAGTGCCCCACAGAGTGCGTGGTAAAACAGGAAACTACTTATTCAGTACTGATTGATAGTCCAGCACTATTAACCAAGCCCTACACCCTCAGCTCTGCTGCTCTGGACTGTTTCCACCCTAATGACCCGTATTGTGAAACATGGCCCTCAAGTAATCTATCAGCATATAGGTTAATCAAAGCCTTTATCCACGTTAGACTTAAAATATGGACTCAAAAACAAGACTTAAAATCTGGGAAGGTAATAAATTGGGAATGAAAGCAAGTAGTTGCTTTACTTAAATCTGGATATACTAACATAGGACATGAAGTGAGAAAAGTTGCTGGTTTCAGTTGTTTGGTGACTGAATTAAGTAAAATTTAATACCTGGGTTAGTGATTATATTGACTGATGTCTGCAAAATTTCTCAAGTTTTCTATCTTCTGTTTCTCTTCAGAAAAGGACAGGTCTCGATTTGGAAAAGTCTTGAGAAGGCTATACTGAAATATGTAGACTTACTCAAAGCTTGGAGACTATTGGCATGAAAATTGCTAGTTATTGCTAGTTCATATATATTTTTCAACAATCTATTGAAATGTAATCTTCTTCTACATAACTGCAAATGTATCAAAAAAGACAATCAACTATAAATATTTCACACAGGGTTTTCGTCATAGCTTTTAGTAAGTCAAATAACTATAAGTAAAGAAATGTGTAATATTTTTCAGTTACATAATTGTAAAACATTTGAGATTGAGTTTCAGATACCATGGAACTTCACTTTGTGAAATTCTAATATAAATAAATCATTGCCCCAGAAGCTGGAAAATAATTGATTTTTTGAAAAACATATATGCTTTTTTACAACACAGATTCTTAAATTCTTGTATAATGTAAAGCTTCAGACAGCTACAGGGGCATATGCCTGCAATCCCAGCACTGGGAAGTGGGGAAGAATCTCGAGTTGAGGTAACTTGGGCTATACAGTGAGACCCCACCTTAAAACAATAACAAACTAACTTCATGTGTCTCCTTTGACACCTGTATTTAATTTCTGCTATAATAATAGAGTACGGCAGCAAGGTATTTCAAGGATCCAGGTCCAGTTTGTCAACCCTAACAGGTTAAGAATTAACAGTCTTGTAGATGGGAGGCGGGAGGTGGGGTTGGATGTCCTACTTTGTGGTACACCCCTGACTCTGCAAATTTCACATGGAAACAATGTGCAAGAAATTAATAGTTCTTATGTTTGTGGGATTCCAAATAATATTATAAATGCTACCCTCAGAGACAGCACAACTGTGTTTCCATGTGAAATAAAGCAGTATTAACCCTAGTCACCAGGTAACCAACTAGCAAACTCTTCTAAATTTCAGAGACAGGACAACAAATGTGGGGCCTCCACTTCAGATATTTTCTCTGGGCTGCACAGGATGCCCGAGTCTGGATGCTGTGAGATGGATTTTCTGTGTGCTGTGAATATGCGTTGCTCTCATTTGTTGATAAATAAAGCTGCTTGGGTCTATGACAAGGCAGAATGGAGCCAGGCGGGAATTCCAAGCAGAGATACAGGACAAGAGAGGCGGGATTGCAGAGATGCTAGCAGCCACCCAAGAAACAACATGCCAGCAAACCGGTAAAAGTCACGGCCACGTGGTGATACATAGATTAAAAGAAACAGATTAATTTAAATGTGAGAGCTAGTTTGATGTGGGATGTCCTGCTGTATGTGTGTTCTTGTTGGTGGATGAGTAAAGCTGCTTTGGCCTATGGCAGGGCAGCACACAGCCAGGTTGGAAGAGACAGAAAGAGAGAGCAGGCGAAGACAAGAGAGCCATGTAGCGGCCAGAGGAGAAGGAGAGGCCAGAAACTTCCTGGTAGGCGACAGCCTTATGGCGATACACAGGTTAATAGAAATGGCTTAATTTAAGATGTAAGAGTTAGTAAGAAACTTGAGCTAATAGGCCAAACAGTGTTGTAATTAATATAGTTTCTGTGTGATTATTCGGGTCTGGGCAGTCAGGAAACAAATGAGCAACCTCTATTTACACTAGTTAGTAATAAGCCTGACCCATCAGCCAAACAATTTTAATTAATATAAGCCTCTGAGTGATTATTTGGAAGAGGCTGCTGGACTGAGCAGAACAGAGAAACAGAGAAACATCCGGAGTCAGGAAATGCCTTCCATTTTTTTAAGTTCCATATCAATTTATTCTCTTTCCCGTTTTTTGTTTGATTACCAGCTCTACTTTTCCATCTCATGCAGGTTGTGGAGTGTCTTCAGGTCATCATCTCTTCTGGCCATTCATGGAGTCCCAAGAATTCATGATCCAGTAAGTGCTGAACACCTCCTCTTTGTTCAGTTCCAGGTTAGAGTTACAAAAGGTACACAAACATCCATCTTTAAAGATATTATCTTTGAAGATAAGAGAATAAAGATCACACAGGGAGCTCAAAGATAATTTAGTCTTTTGGGTATGCTTATGAGTGGGTTCTGGACCACTTAGTATAAAAACTCAAAGGACTGATACTACCTGTCTTACTTAGGCTTTCTATCGCTGTGAAGAGACACCATGGTCACTCTTATAAAGGAAAACATTTAATTGAGGTGGTGGCTTACAGGTTCAGAAGTTTAGTCCATTATCATCCTGGTGGGCACATGGCAGTGTGCAGGCAGACAAGGAAAGGTAGCTGAGAATCCTACATTTTTCAGGCAACAGGAAGTGGTCTGAGACACTAGGTGTGGCTTGAGCATATATAAGACCTCAAAGCCTGCCTCCAGAATTGCACTTCTTCAAACAAGGTTGCACCCACTCCAACAAAGCCACACCTCCTAAAAGTGCCACTCCCTTTGGGGGCATTTTCTTTCAGATCACCCCACTACCATTTGGAATGTCTGTTGGTGTTGAGGGACAAGTTCATGGGTTTTAGAAAATCATCAAAAAGAACTATATCTTCTTTCTTCTACCACACAGGATTTAACATATGACTAGGAAAGATGATCTGGTAACTATACAGATAACATCAATTTCTCTTTACTGACATTTCTCATGGGCAATGGTTGTTCATCACACCAGGTAAAAAGAAGTTAGGTCCAAGATAGAGCACATTCGATAGCTAGAGTCATGCCACTTATGGGTGACGCGGAGAAGCTATTAACAGAAACATTCAAGGCTCACTATGACAGTTATGGGTGATTGGAGATTATGCCTAGAAGAAAACCGGAAATAACTGTGTTCTAACAAGATGACATTTGCTTTGTGGCTAAGCATGGTATCAGGATGAACCATTATATTTCCCTGGCCTTGGGGATCATGTTCTTGTTTTGGTAATGCTCAGGTGAGGTTTGGAAGTGTTGTCATGTCCTGTAACTCAATGACCCAGCCGGTTGGCAAGCCAAGGATTAGCCAATAATTACATTATTCTCTCCACAAACACACGCCTTGGATGTTAAGGGCGCAACTGGATGTAAACCCTTCTTTTTCTGAATCCTGCTTTCCTTGGTACATCCTGCCACAGTAGGAGGGACCTGTGGGTGGGTTTCTCAGCAGATGAATTTAGAATTTAGTCCAAGTCTGCAGCCATGTACTGCTGACAAACACTGTTTCTATTTGTAGGGCTTCCCTGGAGTAAGCTACTGTGCTAGTTTTGGACTTTCTTCAGACTCAGTCCACAATACTGTCTTGACTGTGAAGTTCTCTGCCTTCCCTGCATGGGCATTTCAAGGGTAAAGTCACACATGGCTCCTTTTATGGTGGATTATAATTTCTTTTTACTGGGCATGTGTGTACATGTAGTATTCGTATATGGATATGTTTGCATGTGTATAGGCACATTTGTTCATGGCACATATGTATGTGTATGCATGCCAAGGTCCAAAGGTGACATTGAGTATCTTCTGCCAAGTTCCTCTTTATTTACTAAGTAGGGCTTCTCATTTTATCCAGAAGTCACCAATTCCAGCTAGTCTAGTTCGTTAGCATGCCCTGGGGCTCAGGTCTCTGCCTCTGGAGTGCTGAAGTCACAGGTCACGGCACCTGCCAGGCTTGCATGTGAGTTTGGGAGATCAGAACGTGGGTCCTCACGCTTTTATATAGTAAGGCTTTTAGCCACTGAACTATCTCCCAGCTCTGGTTTTCATTATTTGGAGTTACTTCGGGGATTTAACTCTTAGTTTTCTGTATTAGCATTGTCCAATAGAATATAACATGAGCCTCAGACTAATTTTTTAGTCAATTTAAAAAGCAAAAACCAGGAAAACCAGTCCTCTCACTTTTGAAATCTAGTCGATCCGAACTACTGTAATTACAGAATGTAATCAACACGAGTTATTGAGGATTTCTGGTTTTAAACAGAGTGTTTGAAACTAACTGTGCACCTTCCAACTACTTCAAATCTTCATTAGAAGTAGCCACCATCTGAGTACCTAAATGGCTGGCAGCTACTGGACTGGAGATGCAGGTCTAGAGAAATTCTTCCCATGAGAAAAATAAAACAGAGAAGCAACAGCCCCTCTCCTGGCCCCTGGTCATAAAGAGCAAGTCACTCGTTTCAGCATCCATCACCGTCAGCATCGCCACACATCAATAGGGATGTGTGTGCATCGTCAGGAGCCTCTTTTGGCAAAAGTACCATTCTGTGCTCCAGCAGCTTCCAGAACTTGCTAAATGTTGAACAATACTATGTGCACACACTGACATAGAAAATGATCTGGACAGCTAAAGGCTTGCATGTTCAGAAAATATGTTCATGCTGCCTTCCATAAGCTCAATACACCTTCCATTAAAAGGTTTAAGAAACTTTTTTTGGCACATCTACAGGAATGTGCAGACAGAAGAGTCAGTCCCTTTGAGTCCAGAGAAACAGTATAAACACATAAATAAAGTGTGTCTGGGGAGGGAAGGCCATGGATAAAGCAGGTAGGGGGGTTGTGTCTACCACGTAGTGAATATGAAAATGAGATACCTGTTCCGTTCCAAAAGTATTCTTTTGGACACCCATATCACAACTCCATTGTTTCCCAGGAAGATGCTCATGAAGTTAACCCTCTCTGCCTTCACCAGTTAGATCATCATGGACCAATTTGCTGGGATTGCTTGGAAGGTAGAGTCAAAGGTCCTTGGAAAACAGAACCAATTGTTTTTATGGGGGGGAAGGAGAAACAACAGATATGAAAAGGCGTGGGTTCTTCTGCTGTGGCAAGTTGGGGGTTTTCCTGAGAAGGGAGAAAACCAGCGTGAAGCAGCAGACACTAGATTTCCAAGATCAGCCAGTTGTGTGCCTTCTAGGAAGTAATGCAACCTGCATGTCTTTAGCTTCCCATGGGCTAAAAACAATGCTTCCTTAATAGGAATTTGATGAAATGATAACACTTGAAGAGCTTAAAAACAATGTCTGGGACATAAACATGCATCCATGAGATGTCTGTTAATTATTAGCTATTTTGTTCTCCTTTGTTCTTAAAGTTTCAAGGCTTCAGGCAAGACTTGAACCAAGCAATAGGGAAGGACAGCAGGCAAATAGTAACGAACATCCAATCCCTCTCTAGATAGCAAAACTATGACAAAGAAGTGACAGCGATTTATTTATTTAGGAGCAGTTCAGAGGCTGCTCCTAAAAAATGTGGGGAGGGGTCCTTTAAGGAAATGGTGATGGAGGCCCCTAAAAGCAAGTGCTTAGTATAGGTACAGGCTTGAGCTGCAATATAGACTGAAGATAACCTGGTTTCTCCTGGTCCTGAGCCATGCACCTGCCACGCAGATAGGAACAAACCCAGAGTTGGTAAAACTCAATAACATGCATGCAGGCTGAGCTCAGTAGAAGCATTTGTTAGCATTACAAGGATTACTGTTAGTAGCAGGTCTTTAGCGGGAGCAGCCAGACCCTGCTTAGGATGTTATATTTTGGCGCGCTCTCATACCCTGGCACAGTTCCTGGCCTGGCACCAGATGACACTTGGGTAACGTTTGTGGAATGAATACGTTGTAATCTGGTTTTGGGGTGTGGGGCAGGGAAGGAGAGAGGAGGACGATTTGGCCTGGGATCTAAGGACTTCTTCCAAAAGTCAAAGCCCTAAGCACTTTGCAGCTGGAGCCCTAGATACTACTGGGGGTGGGTTGAAAACCCCTTCACCCCAGATGCAGCGGATGAAGTCTAGGAGCACGCCTCGCCTAGACGCAAGCATCTCAGTGTGAGCAGCTCTCTCCGAAAGTCTTATTTTTCTGGTTTGCGGTTTATTTACTTAAGCGTTTACAAATTCCAGGAGCAAAGGGGCTTCTAGAAACCGGGTCAGGGCCGCGGTCGCGGTTTGAATTTCTTTTCTGCTTCGCAATCGCAGCGTAGGCAAGTGACAGCACCGGTTCCTTTATCTGTTCGTTGGAGAGGGTTGCGTTTCTTTTACCCCCCATTGTGCGAAGAAAGACAAGACACAGCTCGGATTCAGAAAAGGTCTCTCACACGATAAGCCCACGTCCCCAATAGCAGAAACCACTCCATTCCCAGACTTATTTTTTCAGGCAAACACTAGCACGATTTAATAAAGAATTAGAACAGATTTAATAAGACAAACTCGCTTCGTTAATCCTTGACCTCAAACACTGGCGTTTTTGTGCCTCGGATTTCTGAAATTCTTGGCTCCTGGACACAGGGCACGCGGGGGTGGTTAATAGCTTATAAAAACTTCCCCAAACAGTAATCCGAGCGCTTCCCCTCTCTCCGGCCCCTCGTGACACCTAAATTTTAGGAAAGGGAAGATATGACAGGCAAAGAGAATGGTTCACAGGGCTAGGAGATACCTCTGGGGTGACTGTGGGTCGCGTTTTCCAAACCTGGGAAGTCGGTTGTTCAGACTCAGTTTCGCCAGCCGGGCGGTCCCGCTGGACGCCCCTCCCCCTTCTCCGCGCGCGCGCGTCTATTTAGAACCCAGCCCCAGAGTTTGGGGGCTTCTGGGACTTGTAGTTCTTTTCCACAGCCCCAGGCTCCGGCACGACCTGGGACTCGGACTACATTGCCCAGGGAGCTTCCCGGCCTATATAAGTAGCCGGGCGCCGCTTCAAAGTGCAGTAACCATGTGGATGTTCTGCTGAAGCGTTTCCTCAAGCCTGCTGGGGTGGGAGGAGAGGAGGAGGTGGTGGTGGTGGTGGAGGAGGAGGCAGGGGGTGGAGAGAAAGAAAGCGCACGCCGAGAGGAGGTGTGGGTGTTTCTCTCCCATCCTAACGGAACGAGCTCCCTCTTCGCGGATATGGGATTGCCCAGCGGCTGCTAACCCCTCTCCTGGTCCTGCTCCCCAAAACCGGCGTGGCTCCCCGGTCACCAAGGTAGCTGCTGGGGCCGGGCAGAGGGCGCGGGGAGTTGGCACTGGCTCCCGTGCGCAGAAGTTTTTGCCCTGATCTCTGGGAGTTTTTTTTGGTGGCTTTGCATGCACTTGGCGTGTATTTTTGGGCTTCTTTCCCTGCGAGCAATTTCGGGAGGAGGTCTGATTTTTATTTTTTTAGGTTTAAACAACCCCAAATGTCCTCGACTCTAGTGACCAGCTTCAACCCCCTTCTCTGTACTGAAATGGCATTCCCCCAAGTTGGAAACTCTTGGAGTGGCTGCAGGAAATAGTTTTTTTTTCTCCTGTTGGGAAGGGGGCAGTTGAGGGGGTGTCATATGAGTTTGCTCAAGGAAATAATCTTTCTAAAAATGTAGCTAGTCCTGTTGCGCCGAATAGCTGATAGAATAATGCATGCGTGGGGGCCCCTGTGTGTGTGTGTGTGTGTGTGTGTGTGTGTTGGGGGGGGGGTTAAAAACGGAAGAAAACTGGGGGCCGGGGAGAGTGGTGAGGGAAGAAATGTGGACCCAACTCGTGCCCAATGAGGATGCAGGTTTTGTATCCTTGGCTTCCTCCATGCGGGGAAATAAGTGCTTTGGGATCTCCTCAACACTTACCTTATTTCCACCTCCAGCGTATTCGAAGTTTCTGCGTGCCTGATCTTTCTGGTCAGCTACGTACTGGAAATAACCAAGCTGGGTTTGCTGTCATCTGGGGGCAAGAGATCCCGCCAATTTGGCTGCTAAATTGGGAGATGAGGAGTGGGGATCCGCAGGAAATGGAGGCAAAAAGGTCGAAACTCGGATTTGGGAACATTTCTTATAGACCCTTGCGGGGTTCCCTACTCAGTCTTCTTTCTTTGTAAATATTTAGGAAGCTGACCGCAAGGGAGCACGATTCGCATCCTTGGCTGGGCGAGCTTTGACTACGGAGTGCCTGACCTGGGTCAGGTGAGTGTGGAAGTCGAGTCAATAAGTCAATAGGAGGATTTATCCTAAGCCTTTCCGCAAGTCCTCTTGTAGCAGCCTTAGAGTAGCGGAGAGAAAGAAACTGTGGTCAAAATTGGTCATGATCTTTGCCGAGTAAAGATCCAGTGCCAACTACTTTTGAAGGTGGCTCAGAATTGAAGCTGACTGATGTTTGGGAGGGGGGGAGGCACCAAACGACAACAAAATGCAGTAAAATGGGTCTATAATGGGTCTATGGGAGAGGCATGCTCCTTATTTAAATTCCAAACGATGCAGAACTTTTCCTCTGCCGAGGTCTTTAAGCAAAAGTGAAATACTCCTCCCCTTCACACATTGCCACTTTGTTCTTTTCTGTTGTGGACTCGCACGTAATCAGTGGGCTGGACTGTAAGAAATGAAAGTGGCGAATTGAAAGAATGAGAACTTCATAAACGGGAAGTTAGAGTTTAAAAGAATAATACAATAGCTTCCAGGACTTGACTGGAGGCACCTGAACGGTAAGGAACCCAGAGAGTTTCTCTTGTTTTGATATGTGTTCTTGGAAGAGGAGCTGAGGGCAGTGTTTCTCTGTCAATACAGTGGCTCCTATTTTTATTTTTATTTTTTTTATGCCTTAAAATGGTCCCACTCCATTTCTAGAAAGTATAGCCTCTGTAGGGGCACACACACTCATAGTTGCAGGTTGATCCATCAAGTTTTTTTTTTTTTCTTGTGAAATTTTTGTGAACCAAGTAAACAACAGGTTAATAGGGGCTGGGGAGCTGTGGGCAGCTGGTTCTTGGTAACTTCTTTAATGTCCTAAATATTTAGCTGTTCCCTGGGCTACAATCTTTGGGTTTTTCTAATTAGGGAATAAAAGCCAGATACTTCATTATGGTAGTATAATGCTTTTGTTTCCTGCTGATAAGATCCTCGGGAGTAGTGGTGGAGCGGGCGGCTTTTGGATGGGAAGGTTAGTTCTTCTGTGGTCTAATGTTGACCAAAGATTGGAGTCAGTCCACTCTTCAGAGTATTTTGCAGACAAGGGATAACTGGTCCTCAGAGTCTTCTCTACCTGATGCCTAAAAATAATGAGACTGCCTTGTTAGGATGTAGTAAGCCAGGTACAGAGCTGTGGCTCACAGAAGGCCTTAGATACCGGTAAAGAAACCGAGATGCAGCCCAGACAGTTATGTATACTGCTTGTGCTTAAATTTGTGCAGTGCTGGGGGAGATCGAGACACTGGGAAAAATAGTAAACACATTGCTCTTAATGTAATAGTTCTTAGTTATGCCCCACCAATGATACATTAGCCATACTTACCCTGATGTATGAAGGAACTGATAGAGCCACTGGGATAAGAGAATGTAGATATTTGTGGGAGGATTTAATGTAGGGTCAAATTAATTTTTAAAGCGTTATGCTGAAAGCTGGAGTCAGGATAGTGAAGAAGGAAAACCAAGCAAACCCCAGTGTCCACGTGCAACATGAGGCCTTTCTCTTGCTTGAAGTATATCTTGACCATTCACATCAAGGCGTGTGAGCAGGTTGAAAGAATCAGGTGTGTCTCTGCCTGAATAATTGGAGACCTTAAACTGCTTTACTTCAATGTGTGGAATGATGGTAGGTTGGTCTGTGGCCTCTGATTTGCCTGGTAGCAATGTTTTTCTTCTTCATTATTTTCTTTCTTTTTTTTTTGAAATTATTTCTTCATTTCTATCAGTTGTGTTGATGTGTACTTGTGAGCCTGTGCATTGAAAGTACAAACTGCTCTTTGACTAAATCAAATCGGAACAGAAAATCCCATCAAGATTTCCTTCTAAAGCAAGCAGGGAAAGTTCTTGATGTTCCAAATGAATCACTCTGGTCTCTCCACGAAAGTCATTTGGGTGTTATCATCCATTCAGACAATGTGGTTCCTGTTGCCAGCCTTCTTTGAAGAATATGAGGTGCAGTGGTTGCTTCGAAGAGCAGTAGATAAACGTCACAGAAAAGATCTGTTGACTTTGCCCTCAAAGTGTTTTTAGCTGCAAAAGTATGACTATAGAGGTGTGGGTGGTAGTGGGACACTCTGGGACTAATTCAATCGTGTGCAAGGAATTGACTTGAGAAAAATCCACATGGCTTTTTAGCTAATAATGATCTCATGGAATTTCTGTCTGACCTTTTTTTTTTTTTTAATATAAGCAGCTCTTTAAAAACAAACCAAACGAAACAACAGATACCAAATATGAACAACAGAAAAAAAAATCCACCAAAATAAAAGCAGGCCTGGAGTTAGGTTTCTAGGTCAAGCTGTCCTTGGATACTTCTAATTAAGGAATCTACACAAGGACAGTGTCCTGTCTTGTCTGCTATTGGTTTGGTTTTTTTTTTTCAAAATAAAATGCATTGGATCTGCAGATTGCTGATAACTAGAATTGAATGGCGTTGTGTTAGGTTATTTTCTGCTGTTGAAGTTTGATGAATGAAGGCCTGAAGTCAACAGTATGAATGACTTTACTTTTCTGAGGAATGAGCTGAATGAACTCCGGAAGCCATCACCTGTTAAACCCTGTGATTTCCTAGCCTGGTCATAGTTAGAGACAGCTGGTGTGATATGTACCTAACAGACTGTCACCCCTGTTAAAAAGTGTTATGATTCAAATGTGTTATGTTGCTTATTCAGCAGATTTCTTGAGTACCTGCTAGGTGCCAGCTGTGTTCTAGGTGCTTGGGGTACAGCAGTAAGCAATCAAGTCTGTTCCTCAGAGGTTGCTGCTTGGGGGTGTGTGTGTGTGTATGTGTGTGTACATGTGAAGGCCAGAGGTAGATGCTGGTTGTCTTTCTCAATTGCTGGTGGGAGGCAGTCACTGTAAATAAAGAAGTAGGTGTTACAGTATGCAGGTGCTAAGTGCTCTGGGGAAAAATCAAGCAAAGAGAGGAAGAACAGAGAACAAGTGTGGGCCAGATTCAGAGACATTGAAACCCTAGTGTATCATTGGTGGGAATGCAAGAGGAGCGCTTAGCAGAACAGAATGGTTGCTCCTGAAAATATGAAAGAGTTATCGTAAGATTTGAAATTTCCATTTTTAGGTATCTAAATAACTCAAAGCAATGACTTATGCAGTTTGTTTTATGCTGAAAGTTGCCTCACTCATGATAGC